CTTTTATCTTGTGGGCCAATGAGAAGAATTTCGGTTTTATCTTCATTTAGTTTCAGGAAGTTGCTAATCATCCAATTTTTTACTGCTGCCATGCCAGTGGTCAGGGTACAAAGGGCGTTATGATCATCAGACTCAAGTGAGATATACAGCTGTGTATCATCTACATAACTGTGAAAATTTAATTTATATTTCCTGATTATGTCACCTAAAGGGAGCATATTCAGAGACAAAAGAAATGGACCAAGACAACTTCCCTGAGCAACACCGAAAGGCAATTCATATTTTCGCGACACATGATCCCCAATTGCAACAAAGAACTTCCTCCCTGAGATGTATGACTGGAACCAGTTTAAACCAGTCCCAGAGAGCCAAAACCTGTTCTCAAGGTCATCCAAAAATCAAAATTCCAGTTTCAAGGGATATATTAATAATATCTAAAAGTATATAAAAGTTTACTGGGGATAGGGTCGAGAAAACAGGTGGGGGATTTGCTCCAGGTCTGAATTTTGACATGACTGCCCTTTTTTCCCTAGGTTGATTATCATAAATGTGAATATTTCTAACAATTCCTGCTCTAGTGGAGGACACACAGTTTGCAAAGAATCAGGCAAATTCCTCACATTCAAGGGTCAGTGATGGGGCCAGGGGTCAACAATCAATTGACAGTTAAGAAAGTATCCTGGGTTGCTGCCACCCTCTGTTATCACAGTAGGCTCTTCTCGCAGAGTGCATAGCAGAATTAAAGGAAACTACTAGATTGCTGTAAAGTTCGTAGTGAATTACCAGTCCAGATTTCTGGCATTAACAGGCAAAGACATAAATTGCAGGTCTTCGTACTTTCTCTAATCAGGACACATTACTTTGACCGTTGCCATTTAGAGAGGACAGTCATTATCACACCACCACATGAGGTCGCTGCTCAGATAAATTGAACTTTTCAGGCATTTGAAGGTCATTTTGAACAGCTTTTCTTTATTGTGACGACAGTCTCATATTATCCACTGTATACAGCAAATGACACATGCTGGTCATATACAAAAACTGAACTGTTCTCTCTTTGACAGCAGACATTTTGACCTGTCGGAGTATTCCTTAAAAGCAAGCCATATATGTCATACAGTATATGCCCCTATATCAAGAGTGATATTGCCATATACTTGTATGTCTCTCACAAGGAGATATATTATTATTACATGGATAGCCTATATGAAGATATAAGTTTAAAACATATATGAAATAGCCATAGTAAAATTTGTATATGTACATATATTGAAAATATCTACAATGCATTTTTATGGTTTGTTGTGAGCATATACAGTATATTAACAATATATATATTCAGTTTATATATGCATATATATATATAAAAGTATATATACTTAGACAGGCTATGTTTTTCTTATTCATTCTAATGTCTATCTTCCCATTCTGGAAAAGTGGTCTCAGACTTTTGGACCCTACTGTTAAGATCAATATATATTGACAGGCTTTGGGATGTATATATATATATATATATATATATACGCGTAATGTATGTCTACAATATAAGCATACATACATAAACCTATATATTTGTATGAGCTTGACATATACAGTATGGCAATACATGAAATTGTTCCAATTTCTAATAGGTTTCGTATATAATTTTTTACATGTTATTTTATTTTATATGTACATATATTTCATATATGTAATTCCAATATATGTATATATATTACATTTGCCTATGGGACAGAATGACTGTAAATGGTAAAACATGTAAATGTAGTGTAGTTAAATTACAGTCATGAGGTTAGAGAACTGACTATAATAATCAATACAATACAATATAAATCAAAGTTAGAAAAACTTTGGCTAACTTTTGCCATGATGGCTGAGGAAGTAAAACTGCAGAAGCAAAATCCTTTTTTATATTGAAATGAAAAGGGGTGTGTTTTATTGCTTATAGCTTTCAATTTTGAGCGGAGTTTGTTTTCTTTCAAAAGTTATTGTCACACTTTGAATAACCTTTTCTGTAAAGAAATGACAGACATCAGTTTCCCATCCTTTGATGCACTATGAGGAAAGATGAGAGGGGCTGTGCTGACAATGGACAAGCTGTTGATGTAAAGGTTTCAGTTTGTATGTTGTGCTCTATTTTTATTGTACAAATGCAGTAGTGTCATAATATGAATATCATGCCATTTATGAAGGTGTACTTTTGAATATGACATTCTGTATGAGTATTGTTGATCTTAAATATGTGTCATAAGACATATTTCTGATGTATTATAAGTTGTGTAAATAGCATAAAGGTCAGTCATCAGTACTTGTGAGATATTCAAAGATCTGCAGCGGTTCCAGCAGTAATCTTCTGCACAGCGTGACACCAGAAGCTGTTTTCTTGTGATATAATCAGTGAGGTTTATAATATTTGCAAACCAGAGCGCCTCTGCTCCTCTGTGAAATGTTGTTGATCTCATGATATATTTTCTTTTCTCTATATTTTCTCTCTGTGTATGACCACAGCTTGAAACAAACTTACATCAGCATCAGCTAAACCTCTATCTGCTCTGATAGCATCAGCTGCTGATCTGATCTGCAACATGCAATTTTATCTTTAACAGCGTCAGTAGCATATGTTGCTTCACTAACGGCACATATCACGCCAACAACAACAACTGCTAACCCTGATCTAGTTAATGAGGTGGTGGTGAAGTCTTACTGTTGAGTTTTTAGAGTTTATAGCATGAATTTGTAAATGACTATATTAGATTATATTTGAGATTACATTAGTTTACTATACATTTATCTAGTGTAGAGACAGCAAGGCTTATGTAGTATGACCTAATACACAACATTTAGTCATTTACATGATGCAAGGATTCAAAGGTGTATTTGTAACGTACATGTGTTTAGTTAAATGCAGTGTGGCTTTACACAAAAATTCCAAAAGTGATGACACACGCCACACGCAAGTGTGTATTTTGTCAATTTGTAAAGCAGCAATCACAATCAAAAAAACTAATACCCACTTTTCACACAAAACAGAGAAGCAATGTTTTAAATGATAACCCATACTAGTTTAATTTAGTCACAAAATAAATACTACACCACTGCAACAGAGCATATTGTGTTGGGGTGGGGGTTTCACACCCTGTGTAAAGATTGTCTCTGGCATCAGATGAATATCCTCTTTGACCGTTTTTCACCTCCCATTGATCACTTCGACCTCTTCCCGGTGGATGCTGTGACCGGTTTTGGTCTGGTGTCCTGAGTCACTGCTGTTTCACCGCTGCTCCTCAGACAGTGCTGCATGTGATGTCATTCATAACTCTAGTCTTTAGAGTTTTGACTTAATGTCATGCACACTGTTCCCAAGGTCAATGAACTTCAGTACTTAAATATAGAACTTACTGTATGTACATACAGCCTGGAATCTGTCGAGAGAATATTCTTTTGTGTATATTAGGCCTACATTTCCTTAATAAGTGAATAAGTGAGTGAGTAATAACCTTGACTCATGCAGGTGAGTTCTGTGACAAAATGCTTACTCGAAGAGCTCAGTGTTTGCGCTGTTAAAAGTCTGGGACAGTCGCTTCTACCAGACTGACATTTCAGCTCCAAAAACATCAGTGTTTTGGGTTTTAGCACATTTATGGTTCAGTGTCTTATAAACGCAGTTTCCAGCAGCAGGCAAATGTTTTCAGTAAAACTAGAATCCCCTCCTCATGGTTGTCTGCCTCCTCCTCTAATACTAATTCCGGGTCAAATCCCTGTCCAGAGTCAGATATGAACCATTTGTGTGAAATTTTGTAGTAATTGCTGTGTGAAGTCTTCCGTGATGGATAGAAAGTGTTTTGTGAGGTCACACTGACCTTGACCTTTGACCACCCAAATCTAATCAGTTCATCCTTGAGGCCCAGAGAACATTTGTACCAAATGTGAAGGGAATCCCTTGAAGAGTTCTCAAGATATTGCGTAACTGATCATTGACCAAGGAGCTTCTTCTTCTCTGATTTCCAATCAGATTTGTGGAGGTTTATTGTTGTCATGTCTGTGTGTTCAGGTCTGACTGAATCGTGACTCAGATTTTTGTCAGATGTGAGTTTCATATTTTTGGTACAAAATGTGAGTTTTTGATGTTGATATCTGATGACTTGTTAAATGATCTTATTAATCTGATCTGTTTTGGAGATCAGTTTGGGTGTTTTGATACACTATGTGAATAAACCAGTAACTTTGATTTAGTCGAAGTAGCTCTAGAGTAAAACAGTTGGAGACCCCTGATATACAGTATAAATTATGCTGGGGGTAGTGGAGTATAGAGTGATGGGTAAATGAGGACAGGTCTGAAATGACAAGAGAGCCCATTACCAGGTCCATGTTAATTTTTTCTCTCTTTTTTGAATTGCATTTTCTATCATATTTTATCCCTAATTAGCCATGACATTTGTAACTTGAATTGATCTTATCTTGAACGTAAACACAATGCATAGAAGTTGAAGAATATTGACTGGTTAGTTTGGCATGGGTTATTTAATCACCCCACCTCAAACTTCCTGTTACATAATTTGGCAGCAGCACTATAAGAGAACCAGAGCAGCTCACTTCAAATAGAAGAGACAGAAGAGCATCGTCAGTTCTACATCGAAGACACCATGAGGACTCTCAGCTTTACAGTGGGACTGCTGCTGCTGCTCACTGTTCACCACTGCACTGCCATGCGTAAGTCTGATAGTCTATTGTCTGGATGTGATTGGAAAGAAGTGTCAATCAGTGTTCACTTTTCTACACGAGGGCTGTTAGTGATATTTTGTTCCAGTATTTCATTTGATCATATTATTACCTCACGCAAAAGGTTCATAACAAGGGTTACTACTAAACCTCAAATGACTTCGGACTGTAGAAAGGGTTTTCACCTTGATGTTGAAACTGTTTTTTTTTGGTGAAATTTATATATTAATACCACTGTTTCAGCAGAGGTAAAGTCATTTAGAACATTATTATTATTAACAACTCTGAAATATGTCTTAAATTAGATTAATAGTTTTTTGGGGTTTTTTTTTTACAGTTTTGCTACGGTCCCAGTATTACACTTATGCCTAAAAGTCTACACACTGTGATAAGTAAAATAATTACCATCACGCACTCATTACAAACTGTGCTTTTGCTGACTGCTGATGACCTATGGGTGTTATCTTTATTTTTCACAACATGGCACAGTGGCACCCTGACTTGTTTTCTATAGAAGTTACTGCTCAAAGGTGTTCAGCACTAAATGAGCCCTGTTATTTATTTATTTATTTTCACAGCTCGTGGACTAAATGAAATGTCACCTGGATCATGCTGCTTTAAACTCTTTCCCAGAAGAATACCAAAGGCACACATTATCTCCATCATCAAAACTCACAACAGATGCTCTAAAAAGGCGTTTGTGTAAGTCTGAGCTTCACTTTAACAAGTGTTTTTTTTTTCCAATGCTATCACTAAGAGTTACCAAAAAAAAACCCAAAAACAAACAAACAAACAAACAAACAAACGTGCGTAGTTGGCCTGGGGCCCCTTGTCTGATTATCATTATCATTATTGCATTATTATTGCATTATATAATTATCATCATATATTATTATTATTGCTATTATTATGCTGTCTGTGTATATAGGTGTACTTATGTTAATATATAACATTATTACATTATAAAAACTTTTATCACTTTGCTGCTATTACCACATTATTACTATTATTACACTGTAAGAATTTTCACTGTAAATTTACAGTAAGTAATTGGCGACACTGTAAATTTACAGTAAGTAATTGGCTAATAATTGCATTACTTTCACAGTAATTCGCTGTAAATATTTTCACAGTAATTTACTGTAATTATTTCACAGTAATTTACAACACTTTACCGTAAGTTCACAGTTGCCCATGGAATTACTGTGATAAAGCAGTATTTAGCTGTGGGGTTACTGCCAACTACTGTGAAATTACAGTAAATTGCTGTGAAAATATCTACAGTGAAATGCTGTGAAAGTAATGCAATTATTAGCCAATTATTTACTGTAAATTTACAATTTAAATACTGTAAGATATTGTAACATTCACTTGTTAATTGTGATTTTACTGCACCAACACAACCATGCTTTCATATGCTCAAAAAAGAAAACAGAACAAAATGATCATTCGTTTTCACTTTTTAATTTAATTGTTAAGTGCCAAGTGCAATTACATTTAACATGACATGCCTTTTTTGTCAAGTCAGTATTATAACATCTGAACAATGGAATATGTACATTTTACTGCGTTATATTGAACAAAATAAACCTTTATAAAACCTTTAAACCAATATAAACCTTTAAATGGGGTTCTCAAAGTTTTCTCAAAGTTCCTTCTAATTTGCCTGCCACTCAAAGTCCACAAGTTTCCTGCTGAACGTGCTCACATGTGGGTTGATGTTGCCACGCTTCCTCTTCGCCCTCGAGGCCGTTTCTGGGTTGATGCCCAAGAAGCATCTGTAAATCAAATAATCAATAAAGCATTAATATCAGGTGATCTTTTATGTTAAATTAATAAGCATAAAAGCAATACAAGCAATTATGGTAAGTAAACATTTATTAGAGAGGGATAGTTCATCCAAAAATGAAAGTCAGTCAGTTTGATTCTCATTTTTGAGTGAAATATCCTTTTAAACAAGGGGGTCAAGGGAGGAATCCAATAAATTGCTAATTTTAAAATGACTATACCTTTGAATAAACTCCAAAGTGCATGAACTGTCCTCAGGGTACTGGAGATTGAGATTGTAGAAGCTGGCAAAAAGCGCAGCCACCAAAACCATAAAATGAACAAACTAGAAGTGGAATAAACAGGCAAAAATAATAATAATAATAATAATAATGATGATAATATCTGTTGCTGGTGGTTATGTGAAGAGGAAAATGGACCGATATCCTGAAGCAAAATCTCTTCAACTACAAAGAACCAGGACAACCAATGCAAATCAAACTATATAGAGTACATAAAACATATGCAGCAGGTTAATGACCAAAGCTACAATATCAACTTTTTATTCCAACATTTGGTGGCTGTAGAAAAAAAAGGGGGGAAAAAAGAAAAAAGCCTTGTTGAAAAGACAAACACCGTGGTTACAAGCCCTTAATAGATACGTGAAATGGGCTTAAATTCACTTATATTACTTTCTGCTCTACTGAGAGCTAGATGCAAGAAAACTAAACTTTTCCACTTCCAACTGGAAATAGCCTTGCTAGCCACTAACCACTTTTTCCCCATGCTGGATAACTGCCCGGGCTTTTTTCCTCACACTGCCTGACCTGAACACGTGTGGCGTAGCTGACGTTAGCTAGTGTGGGCGTTTGCACGGTATCAAACCAAACTATCTACTGCACAGCCACAGCCTCACATCAAAATGTGGAGCATAGATTCACTCTACCGTGATGCAAAACGTCGCTGGTTTATAGCTCACACAAACAGTTGATCTAACTACTATGTTAGGGATAAGTTATGTTACCTGCGTGCTAGTCCCCGGTGTGCTAGTCTGCTCGCAGCCTTCAGTGAAATGGGCCAGGCGTCATTCGGCTGGGAGCGTGTCTATGTTCCCACAGCCCTATATTCCCCTTTTATACCCTTTCAGAACGCTTTGCATCCACGTTCCACGGCGTCTTCACATTTATCCACCTCAGCGATCGTTTTTGTAAAGCATCGTTTTCAGTTTCGGAATTCACCGTTCTAATGTGGACGGAAGGGCTAACCGGATAAATATTACCCGGGTTAGTGTGGACATGGGCCTATGGGAACATATAAGACTGTGGGAAAATAGGGCCTAATTTTCAAAACATTCTCAGAAATGTGGGAACATAGGGCTGACCCCATTCGGCTCACGTTAAGGAAACCTGGCTCTATTGAAATAAAAGCGTCAGAGAAAATAGTAATTAATGTGACGAACACACTCGTTTAAAATGTAAAAATGCAAAGGTGGAAAACGAATGTGAATTACCTTGACAGAATATGCAGACCCGACTTCTTTCCCTTTCTGTGCTCCGGGTGGCATCAAACGTTAAATTTTAAAAATCAGCGGTAACGTTAGGTCCCACAATTCAGCGCGGTACATGTAATTCGCTGTGTTTTTGCGGAGGATAGTCTTAATACAGTATTTCATGGTGAAATAATGCAATACAATGCTGTGAAATCCTGGTAATAATTGAAACTGCAAATATCACAGCAGTTTACTGTGGTGGCACTGCTTTTATAGTAAATTTCGAAATTACAATCTTTTATTGTGAAAATTAAAGTTAAATCCTGTAAAAGTGATAATACAGCAATTTAGTGTCAAATATTACAGTTGAATATTGTGAAATCCTGGTAATTATTTACAGTGTATATATCATTGTTATCATTATCATTATTATTATTATTATTGTATATGATCAACTCTCATTAGAACATCATGTGTATGCACGGACACACGCGCGCACACACACACACACACACACACACACACACACACACACACACACACCTATTATGTTTAATGGTCACAGTGTCATCTATGTCACTTTCTGTTTTTTTCACAAATAAAAAAAAAATAAGTCACCAAAGTTATACATTGTGAAATTCTATACAGCTACTCTTTAATAGCAAAATATGTGAATATGATATCAATACTTTTCTGGACCCAACTTTGATTACTGACTCTGTGAGTGGTTTTCACTGCAGGGTCAATACTCCCAATGGACTGATATGTGTGAGCGAGGCTCTGGACTGGGCTAGGACAGCTTTCAACAAGCAGCACGTCTCCGAGAATCAGTGAAGATCCTCACTATCCATGAAGAGCTCCACCAACTCCACCTCCAGCTATGATAGAGCTCCGCCTGACATTGGCAACCTACATAATTACATCAATTGACTAGTGCTGTGTCATTTTCATGCAACTGTGAGTGTTAACCATTTAATGATTAATCCCATAGACCCTTGCTTTGCCTGACTTTTAATCATTAAAGTTTCACTTGTTAAAACAGACTTCCTTGATGCACCTCCCTGATAGTAAATGTAAACTTTTGCACTTTCATGTTGCATTTTAGATCTTATGATCGGGCAGAGTAGCCTGCTCCGCACAATTTGAGCACACTCTGCTGACTGAAGTGCTGTTAAGCAATAGTCCAAGTACCTAACTAGAGGGCTGCTGATCCGTAGCTCACCCCAACCTCAGACCTTTGTGGATGGGATGGGGGAATCGCCACATTTTTTTCTTCAGGGACAGTGGTCCTCAGAATCAGTATCAGAAACTACATTATAATTACTATATTATGTAATTAATATGAGGCATTTTCTTACCATCAATAAAGAGGTTTTCTGGGTACATATTTCTTTTTTAGCAAGAAGCTAGGCTTAAGTTTTTTATTACAATTTTTTTTTAACATAGATACATTCTGATGCCTTAAAACCATGAGGCTACTGCTAAACCCCTGAAAGCACTGGTTTAACTGAATAAGCAGAGCAGGGTAAATGGAACTATGAGTGAGGGGCTATCTATCTCAGTGAGTAGTAACAGGAGACAAATTAAAGGAAAAACCTAAAAAATGAGTGGAGAACCAGGATGATAATGTATCTACTGTGCACGACGGGCCACTGATGGTCTGATGAGGATGAAAATGATGTGAATCATACGCTGTCACCTTCACAGTCATAACTCCATAAGAGGGGAGCGTGTCTATGTTCCCACAGCCCTATATTCCCCTTTTATACCCTTTCAGAACGCTTTGCATCCACGTTCCACGGCGTCTTCACATTTATCCACCTCAGCGATCGTTTTTGTAAAGCATCGTTTTCAGTTACGGAATTCACCGTTCTAATGTGGACGGAAGGGCTAACCGGATAAATATTACCCGGGTTAGTGTGGACATGGGCCTATGGGAACATATAAGACTGTGGGAAAATAGGGCCTAATTTTCAAAACATTCTTAGAAATGTGGGAACATAGGGCTGTGGGAACATAGGGCTGTGGGAACATAGGGCTGTGGTAACATAGGGCTGACCCCCTTAGGAGTATCTCCTGAAATAGGGCCCCGACAGCGAGATGCGTACTGGACCTCAGTTGTCATATTATCATAATAAACCCAGACTGTACTGAGAGTGGCGTACCTACCTTCGCTGCCATAAAGGTCAAGGTTTATGGTGATTTGGGTTGTCACGGTTACAATAATAACAGTGTGGTTGACTTTGTTGGACGGTCCTGGTTAATAGAAACAACATAAACTGCTGGTTTCACATGCAAATTGAACACCACTCTCCTGTGTCATATTCATCCATCCACCACAACCTCCTCCTGACGTGGACTTTGTCTCTCTTTATACTACGTCACCGCACTTTTCCCTTTGCTCCTGTCATCATTACTACGACCACTAGATGTCGCCTAGCAAAATGTAACAATGGATCATAATAACCTGCTGCGCAGACGACCTGTGGGCTCGGTTTTTTGCAGGACAGTCTCAATTAAAAATTGACAGAGACCTGTCAGCCAATAAGACACTTATTTCCACATATTTTCCTGTAAACATTCGCTGATTGGTCTTTCCTGTGTTCATTGAAGATAAAAATAAAGGCTCTGTTCACTTAAGATACAAAACAACAACACTGCAACATCAGTTACGTTGTGACAAACTGCTCAAGGTGGAGAATTTTTTGGGGTTAAAGAAAAACTCGTAATGCCCAGGCCAGGCGACACACCTAGTGTACACCAGGCTGTAATCATAGACAAACCTTTAGCTAGCATCACACCACTGCACAGCTAACCAGGCTTTATCTGTCAACTTTAAAGTGACACTATGTAGCTTTTGAAATTGGAAATAACACAACCCACCTCTTAAGAATGGAAAGCCGAGTTCATGAGCAACAAAAGGAACATCTACTCAGTTCAAAACATTTAGGGTTTTGCTGTTACAGCCTTACTTTGATCTTGTGCCATTAGCTGAAAGGTGAACCGTCACCTCAGTCTCAGGTCTCCCTGACTCTGGAGCAGGTTTTCTTCAATGACCTCTCTGTATTTGACTACATTCTGACCAGTCTCCTTGTTCCTGCTGCAGAGAAGCCCCTTCATACCATGATGCCGCCACGACGACGCTCCACTGTAGGAATGATGTTATCCACGTGATGAGCAGCGCATGGTGTTTGTCAGACATAGTGTTCGGAGTTCTGCCCAAAGAGTTTTTGTCTAATCAGACCAGAGAATCTTCTTCTTAATGCGTTGAGTCAAACTCGAAGCAGACTGTCATATTCCATCCAGCCACTCTACAATAAAGCCTTCTTCCAGCAGGTTTCCCATCCCTGCAGAGGACTACTGAATAGAAGAGTCCTGGTGGGTCCAAACTTCTTCCATTTCACAGTTACTGAGGCCTCTGTGCTTTAGCAATGGTTTTATACCCTTGTCCTCATCTACGTCTCATCACAGTTTATGACAGAGGTCAACAGAAAGCTCCATGGACTTCATGGTTTGGTTTTTGTCCTGACCTGCAGTGTGAATTGTGGGACTTTATATACACAGGTGTGTGTCTGTCTAAACTATGTGCAGTAGTTTCCAGGATAACTAAAGGAAACAGGAGACACCTGACCACAGTTTGAAGCAACAGCAAATATTCTGAATGCATTTGTTAATGAATCACTTTGATTTGTATGGATGTATGGATTACTGAGTGTAGAGCGATGGTCAGAAATGGCAATTTTATCCATTTAAAATTAAAAATGAATGGGACTGAATACTTTGAGGCCACTGTTTATATACTTTATATACTGTTTTATAACTTGACTTTGTCTGTTATTTCCTATTTTGCAAAATGCCTTCTTTATTTTTAGTGTTACCGCTGCCATTTTTTTTCTTCCGTACATTTTTCGATGCGCTACTAGCCTTACACACTTGAAGTGGGAAACATGGGTCCAAAGCAAGAATGTGAAGCACGCTTAGGAGATGTGTGCTATGACTTTTGGTGCTGATATTTGTAACAGATCATTTTTTAAGAATCTTTTCATATTGGTGCAGTACTGTTGCCTCACAACAAGAAGGTGATGTGTTCGAACCTGATTGCCATCTGGGGCCCATCGGTGCGGAGTTAGTATGGTCTGACCTCTGGGGAGATCCAGAAACATACTAATACATACTTGGCAACATACTAAAGAATTAGTGTGTTCAAAAGAGTACATGCACACATTGGGATTAAAGCATAACCTTGTCAACTTTATTTTATTAACCATGTACAGAAGAGAAGCAGAAAACAGTGTACATATATATATATAAAAAAAGAAAATATTACAAAAAATCCACCTGAACTTAAATCTTAACTTGGTGTTATTGGAAGGGTGAGTGGTTCACAAGCACTTGAAAGAAAAATTCACTTTTTTTTTTTAGCTTGTAGGACAACAGAATCACTTTTCTCTGGACTTAAAGAAAAATTCTGGCATAACGGATTAGTCCTGAGAAGGTGTACTCATTGGCATAGATGTATACAATATATATGTGTGTATAAATGTATGGACATGTATTCATGGACTCTTAAGAAGAGTTTTTTGATAATAGGTTCTGTTCTGAGTACAAGTTCTGTTGTTACTCCTGGCAGAAAAATAGTCTGAAAAAAAATAAGAAAACTGAAGAACAAAAGGCCACTGAGCAGCCTCCCCTATGTACACAATATACGCAACTCCATCTTGAACAACTCCAAACAGGCAATATTTAATATGCTGAAGGATTCAGGTTCGTCCCTTTAGCACTTTGCTTTAAATGCAGGCAGTCTGAAAAACTATACTAAAATAACAATTAATCTATGAGTTAATTAAGAAAACTACAAGGGAAGGGGTCACTCTTCAACCGTGCATATAGTATTATTAATATCATCATCATCATCATCATCATATGAAAATAAAACATGACAACTCTGAGGAAAGTTCATATTAAAGGATGCCGCTTTCTGACTGTGAATTGGCTCAGACCTGGACTTTACATTTTCTGTTTGACAGGAAAGCAAAGGGTTAATGTCTCGTTGTGGAATATTCTAAAGTTAAGTTATTCTAAAACTTCTCCAAACATCTTTGCGGGGTATCTGGGGAGGAAAAAAAAAAGGAATATACCAGCTATTTTGATTAACTCCCTTTGGTCACACACATCTGGACACTGGGGTTCAGGTCTATGACAACACCCATCACTTACATCACGATCACCTGTAAAGTTGTAGACACCAATGAGGCTTTTTGCATAATATCTTCTATACAAATAGGAAACACACACTGCAATGACAATATTCTAGCTGCTGTTAGACAAGATGCTCATCTCCTTTCTTCTGTCTGCGTGGTTCAGATCAGACAGTATATAAGACCTCAGACATTTCATAAAACACACCTGCTCATACACTGCACTGTAAAAACCTTTCCAAAGGCCCAGTCTCAACAGCATTTAAAAACAGGACATTTTTGATTCAGCTAATTTTTTTTTTTTTTTTTTACCTTTACACATTAATGTGCACCGATGGCCAAAGACAAGTCAAAGACTTTGAGAGTCCAACATGGAGGAAGCTAACAAAGCTTATTACCGAATGGTCTTTAGCTGGTTATGAGACAGGAGCTGATGGTACAAATATGTTTCTAAGAAGTTCTGGCAGCAAACTTTTAAAAGATGCATTTGTTAACTGGACAACTGATTCCTTATGGGACTAAGTTGCTAAGTTCTGTTAGCAAACATACTGTTTTATAGTAGTAGTAGTATTTGTACCATCGACTAACTAATACTTAGCAAGCTCCTTCTCAAGAGTCTTTGTTCCTCACCTTTATTAACTCTCTATTGAAAGAAATGGTGTAGAATGAATGAAATGCCAGGGTGAAGCAAAGGGCCCAGCACTGGGAACATATAAACAAGTTCAACAAGCTACTGTGATTAAGTAGCACTAGCATGTTCCTGGCTGGCTAATGTGTTGCCTGCTAATTAATTCATTACCAGTTAATTGCCTGGCCCAAGAAGAGCCACTTTTTTTAGTGTGACCGGGCCTTAATTCCACCTGACTTCATCCTCCACAGCTGCCACCTGGTTCAGTTACCTTCACTCACATACACTCCCCCTTCTCCTGACACACTCTCTGAGACGTTGTTTTGACCGAGTGTCTAAAGGTTTACGCTTGTGTACATTTTTGAGAACAATAAAAGAAGGAGCATTGAAGAAGGAGACAGTATGTCTATCTGCATATCTACCAATATCTAGAGAACATAGACGACTACATGTGTACAAATGGCTATGCATGGTCCCTGCCATGTGTTTACTCAGTACTGTACGCTCAGAGGAACTCGGGCTTCTCCTCTTTGTCAGGAAATATAGGAAAATAGATTTTCACAAACACATGCATTCCTCAAGAAAATGAAAAAGTCTCAACAAACACAGTAAAACCCTGCAGAGAGAGACAAGCGTGTGGGCTGCTGTGGGCATCTGCATGTGTGAATGTGTGTATAATGGTGTCCATGTCACATGTGGTGCAAGTTAAATGTAACACACGGGAATGTTATGGAATGAGTTGAGAGTTTAATGTGTGTGTGTGTGTGTGTGTGTGTGTGTGTGTGTGTGTGTGTGTGTGTGTGTGTGTGTGTGTGTGTGCGTGTGTTGCTCTGAGGGCCACAGTAGATGTGAGCTTCAGGGAGGATGAGGAAAAATGAGTTTGTGTAAAACTGAAGGAACAGGTTGTGTCTCTCTTTAGAAGATCTTTCCTTTCTTCTTGTTCTTTTCCATTGTCCTGTGTGAGAAACAACAAGAATGAAGAAAGAGAATGTGTGTGTGTGTGTGTGTGTGTGTGCGTGCGTGTGTTGCTCTGAGGGCCACAGTAGATGTGAGCTTCAGGGAGGATGAGGAAAAATGAGTTTGTGTAAAACTGAAGGAACAGGTTGTGTCTCTCTTTAGAAGATCTTTCCTTTCTTCTTGTTCTTTTCCATTGTCCTGTGTGAGAAACAACAAGAATGAAGAAAGAGAACATTACTTCACTATCATGTACAACAACATGTCCTTGTTTCATTCAGAAGCTGATAAAGAACACCCTAAGCTGACAGACTACCCTCACAGCTGCTACTGCCTTACTTGGTCTGGCAGGACCACTGGCTCATGGTGGCTAATGTTGGCTCATATTTTGCAATCTTTAGACACTGTTGTGAACTTCCCAAGTGACTTAATAACTTCTCTCTTGTCTTCATTATCCTGTAGTGGCAACGTGCCACCACAATTGTTAGTTCAGGCTCTCAGGTGCTCTGCTGCAGAAACAATCCATGTTGCATTCAAGGGGTGAGAATCAATCACAACTTAATGAACAGCACTGTTGTGTCATATTTCATACACCCGGCGCTGTGTGTGTTAGCTTGGATACATTAACTGTGACGGCACCAATTACTCAAAAGAATATTCACATAATCGTCATTCATCTATATTCCATGGTAGATTTTGTGCTGAATTGTAGGAGGGCCAAACTATTAACTATTAATAAATATTAACATTATCCTGTTATCTCCAGATAACGGGCTAATTATTCCTTTATCTTGACATATCTCGAGATCATGGAATAATTCTCCTGGCCTGTCTCAAGATAACTGATAACAGAGCTTTGTTTTCCTCGACATAATGGGATAGTTATTCTGTGATCTCGACATTAGCTTCTGTATAAATGAGGTGGAGCAGTGAAGCTGTAAACATTCATACTGGTAACTGGTAATCTCAGCGAAGGTGACAGATTATGTAACTGCATGTTGGAAAGAGGTTAGAAAAAGTTAAGGGAAATTCAGCTGTAACAAGATCCGGTTACCATCTGATCTGAGAAAAATGATGCCAAACGTTTTGTCAAAAGATAGTTTACGTATCAAGCAGTAGACATTCTGCATTCGTCAGCTGTACGTCAGCTCTTGAAAAGTGTGAGCGTTACTAACTTGGAAGCGTCCAGTTTCTGCTGCTCGAGGATTCTCTGCTGAGCCTCCCAGTTGGCCTTCTCGTCCTCAAACACTCGTCTCTTTTCCTCCAGCTCTTTGTACTGTGCCTCCAGGTTCCGTTTCATCTGTTCATGGCGTCGCTCCAGCTGAGGGGAAACAACATTTGATGCACTCAGTCTCACACACGATTTGATAATGATAATCATCTACATGAGCCAAATATGGTTTCAAACGCAGTTCCACAAGGGGAAGTTCCCAACTTTAAAATTCAACACTGAATAAGACACGGGATATTACAGACAGCTCACATAATGTTGTTACGTCACAGGAGCTTGGAGCTTATGATGCCACATGGTGCTGCCATCCATCTGCCTGTCCCTGCCTCACACACATACACTGATCCTCAAACCCACCTCAGCCTCTGAATCCTTCAGTTTCTGCTTCTTCTCCTTAACCTTCATTTCAAAGACTTGTTCCATCTCTGCCTCCATCTTCTTCATTTTCATCACATGCTCCCTGCGCTCCTCCTCCATCTGTGCCAGGGGACTCCTGTTGATCATGGAAAAGAAGACGGCAGAAGTTAGAACCAGTGTACCGGACAGAGGCTGTGTTCGAAGAGCCCGCTCAGCCCTGCAGCTAGCCCCCTTCTACTCTGCCACTGAGGGGGTTCTGTTGGTAGGAGGCAAGGGATCTACAGTCTACAGTCGATGCTGTGACATAACTGATCCACTTGTAGTGTTTCCTCATAAAATGTTAAAGGTTTCTTTTTTTTTAATGATCTCATATGTTTTATTGAGCCAAAGTTATACATACAGTGAACTGTTGTATCAGTGCTCATTTTCATAGTAACACAGGATTATAAAATTACATTAATGTACATTTGCAGGTACAAAACAGGTGATATAAAGGTTTAAAGACTGTCCTTGGGATTTGAACATTATCCAAGCAATAAATCATTAAAAACAAAGAAAAAAAAACCCAAAAAACCCCAAACTAATCTAATTTTTAATCATTTTTAATCTAATAATAATTAAATGCAGAGTTTCTAATATCAATTTCATTCATTCAATTCTATCCTTGGCCTCAAGTAAACTGACCTAAAAATGATCCCAATGAGCGCCACACAGTGTTGTGTGCAGATTTTACATTGAGGAAAAATATAATGTTGGTAATGGAGGGTGGATTTTTTTGTTGTATTTCATGTTTCAGATGTTTGTTTTTTTTTCTCTATAATCCATAATCATATTATTGTATTTTATGTTTCAGGTATAAGCAATGCTGCCACTAAATAGCAGTTCATGGTTTTATTCGTCACATGACAAGGTTCAACGTACACCTAGCAAAGCAGTGGAATGTGGGCGGGACTCGGCAGCAGAACAGACAAACACTAGAAAAAAACATTATTTTGATATTTGATATTACTGAAGCCCAAGCCTGAGAGAGAGAGAAGTTAGGTAGGAACAATCCTCCTCAGCTGTGAGGTTTCTCTGCTCTACAGAGGTGCTGTATGTTTGGAGAGAAGGGAGTCTGAATGCTTTCCTATTGGCTCCTATTTCATAAAGATCCCTAAAGGAGGCGAGCCAGAGGAAATTCTCTTCTATATATAGCATAACAATGACTGAAACTTCCAAAGCCTTCCGAAAGGCTGAACCGTCAGAGGCGACCTCAACAGTTTATTAGAGAACTTTGTAGACCCCCCCCCCCACCAAGAACTCTGCTTCACTTATTAGATTGTTTGTGAGGCTCTTAGTCTTGACCTTGTTTTCCGGGATGGGGCCAGGCTAACGGTAAAACTCTAATTCTTAGAAATGTTTTGTTCACCTCATAACCAAGAAAAGCTGTAGCAGAAAAGTTGTGTGTTTAATGAGCAAGGCCGTACTTAGTGAGCTGCCCCTTGGTCTTGGAAGTGTCCACTCCGTTACAGGTGACGGCAGCGAGTTTCTTACTGCGGTAATTCTCGTAGTGGACATTGTTGGTGACGTCCTTCAGATCCTGCATGTGGGTCCTGTGGAAGAAAGAAGAAACAAATCAGGGACCTTAAGCCAGGAGGAGGCTCATCTATAAGCAAACAAGCTAAACCTTCCACTGAATTCAACAAGATTAGCTTCATGCATCTTTGCTTTCTCAAATTAGTTTATAAATATATCAACAGTTTAGCTCCAGAGTCTCTCTCCAGATATATCCAAAGGCAAGAAGTGACAGTAAGTAGGAGCGTGGTGAATGGCAACTGCAAAATATCACACTGAAGATCTAAATTTGGACAATCAGCCTTCTCCATAAAGGGCTGTGAACACATCACCAACTGAAATCAAATTAACCCCAGATATAAATTCCTTTACAACAAAGGTTCCGTGCTAAAAGCAAACCAGAGCTGTACTCATTTCTAGCTAATTGTATCTATAGTTAATTGTTGACTGTTTGTTTGACTGTTCCTAGCTTGTGTGCTGTTGGTGTCTCTTTTCAGATTGAACTGTACTGAGGTCGTTACACTGGCTTCCAGTCAATTTTAGAATTGATTTTAAAATCTTAAAGCTTGTTTTTAAGGTCATACATGGTCCTGGTTATTCCTCATGTCTTCACATAAACTGGTGGCACTGCTTCAGCTTTTATTCTCCAGGCTGCTGGAACATGTTACCTGATCATATTAGAAGTGCTGCTACACTATCATCTTTTAAATCCGAACTCAAAACTTTTCTTTTTGGCTGCGCTCTCCAGTCGTCTGGTTTGCTGATCTTAATTTAACATTTTATTTTATTTTTATTCCTTTTATTGTTTTTATATTTCTTATTTTTATTTGACCAATTATGATCTTATTTAATCACATTCTATTTCTACTTTTTAATTAAAAAAAAAAAAAAATTACTGATTTTTTTGTTGGTCTTAATTATTTTATTTTATCAATGGTTTTTAATCCATACATATCATTTATGTGTCTGTTTTAATTTGTGTCTAATGTTCTATCTTTACACTCTCCACATAGTTTTTGTGGTTGCAGCTTCCTCGATAACTCAGGTTTGCACAGCACATTGCGCTTCCACCTGGAGTGAGATATAAATGTATAAATAAAGTTTTGCTTGCTTACTAAAACTAAAACTGTTTTCATGCATCAAAGGATTGTAAATCATTTTGTGTTCATGAGTTGAAGTTTGTAAAATCCGAACGCGTCTCACCTGATCAACATGTTGCGGAGCACGGTGAAGTCGCAGTGTTCCCCATTCTCCACTGAAACACACAGGGAGAGAGAGGAGAACAGAGAGGGAGGAGGAGAGACACGCAGATACCAACAATTATTACACATCAACACCTCTCGTAAGAATCATCAGAACAATCATCGTCTGGTCTGAAGGGGAACTGAGCTAGAATGAACTGCAAGCATTAATATCTGAGCTTCTACAGATGTTTGTCCACACAGCAGAACTTCACAGGTGCTAAATAACTGAAATGAACTCTGGGTAAATGGCTGTCACTTGCCGTGGTTTATCTCTGGCTATGTGTTCACATACAGAGGCAGTCCCAGCAGAACCATTGTGTTACTGTGTTTGTGGTGAGTAAAATCAGTTCGAAAGTAGTGTGTGTTATTTACATGCTAAAACCTATAACGGTCATACAGACAAAAAATATAAGCAAAACACCGAGTTAAAATGAATGTCACTAATCATAAAGGAGACCTCACTGTTCAAACACACATATATTATGGTATGTTAAGGTCATTCATTCATCAGTCAGAAAGGGAGGGGGACGCTGAGAGCAAGGTGTTTAAAGCGACAGTAGAAAAAGCCAGACTACTTTATCAGCTGCAGCAGCACATGAACAGAGACAAGCAGCAAAGGGGAAAGAGACTTCAGGCCATGATCACATAGGATGTTTTTTTTTTATATGAAACTGAAACTTTAATCCGGGTGGATTGGAGAAAATAAGTCTCCATAAGAACAACTTCAAGAACAAACTCTGCTGCCAGCCTCTGCTGTGCAGCTATTTTCTTCCTTTGTTGTTTAGACATGTTTGTACAAGGGAGAACTAGGGCCACGTTGAGGGAAAAAAATCTGAAATTTCGAGAACAAAGTCATAATATGAAAATAAAGTCACAATTCTGAGAATAAAATCCTAATATTACAAGAATAAAGTTATAATATAATGAGAATAGTGATCATTTTAAGTTGCTTGTTGTTTTAGAGGGGAAATATCAGGAGCTTTAAAATGAGGAACATGAAGCATCCTGTGAAGTTGTACTTTAGGTTTCACAAATGAGGAAATACTTTATCTTTTCGCTCATCAGCATCAGGACATTGAAAAGATTGTGAAGAAACTGAGTCTATTCTATTGTTAGACAGACAAACAGCAGCTGCCAGAAGCAGCTCAGGCTGACACTGACTGTCCTTTCACCTGTTTGACTGGTTGATGTAATATTAAAAAAATTATGTTTTTTCTCTCGAAAGTTTACATTTTTCTCTTAATATTACGACTTTATGCTTGTAATATTTTGACTTTTTTTTCTTGAAATATTATGATTCTATTCTCAGAATTATGCCTTAATTCTCTAAATATTGTGACATTATTCTTGAAATTTCAGGTTTCTTTTTTTCCTCAATGTGGCCTTAATACTCTGTCGTCATATGTTTGTGACCTGTAGTCAAACGTTCTGTTCTCTGGAACAGACTCCGGATCGGAACAGGCAGCGACACCACTGAATTCATAAGTAATAAAACAAGCAGTTGCTCACATCAACACACTCTGGGGTTTAACTGCTACAGGTCTGACCAGTAGCTTGGTGGCTATTACCTGTCAGTTAACTTTAGACAGATGTAGTTGTATATCTGACATTATGGAAATAATTAGCTGACTTTATTCGTCTCCTTTACTTGTGCTACAGTTACACTGCTACACACATTGTGCATTTAAATGTTCAGCAGAACCAGTAGAAAACTAGAATCACCACCTGGTGGTTGTAGGCCTCCGCCAGTCAGGCAACTTACAGGAAATATGGTCACAGTCTTGCCTTCCTGTAATAATGGCCAGAGGTGTTTTTGCAGAACATTATGACGTCATTATGAAGTCAGTTGACCTTTGACCTTTTGGATATAAAATGTCATCACTTCATTTTATCCTTATAGACTTTTGATTTAAATTGTGTCATAATCAGTGAATGAATTTGTGAGCTATGGCCACAAACGTGTTTTGTGATGTCACAGTGACAGACGTGATGACAGTCCCTCTGGGCGTTCCTGATATATTGCATTCACGAGAATGTGAGAATACTGTGACCTTTGACCAGCAAAATCTAATGAGTTCATCTTTGAATCCAAGTGAATGTTTGTGCCATATTTGAAGAGAATTTCTTGAGACCTTACTGAGATATGGCGTTCACAAGGCCAAAACTGTGTTTTGTGAGGTCACCGTGACCTTGACCTTTGACCACCATAATCTAATCAGTTCATCCTTGAGTCCTTGTGAATATTTGCGCCAAATTTGAAGAAGTTCCTTCAAGGTGTTACTGAGATATCAGGTCCATGAGAACGTTATGCTCCTCCGGCTCTGGCTGTCACAGGCGCGGAGGCATAATGATTAAAATGCCACCAAACTGACACTACAATGTGAGTTACACAGCAATTTTCAGCTAACATTTGCTAACTTTAGCCATTAGCCAAGATAAGCCACTGGTCATACCAGACCAAGTGTTTGCATTTTAGTTCACTTCTGCTCACTTCTGCTATTTGCCACCTGACTGCAATGAGAGCGATACACAATGAGAATGAATGTTCAGTGCACTCCTGATCTGTGTTACCAGTGAGGCTCACAGCTGAGTTTGTGTGTTTGAGCAGAAGCAAAACGCTCCTATCTGATCACAGCCCGTCACTGTCGGACCCACAGACGCCACATAGTTAGAACAAGCAGGAGTTCTTGGTCAGACAACAGTAAACAGAACTAGTCTTCTTTCAACAGTTACATGATTGTGAGTCTTCATCTCAACAACAAAGAAGTGGTTACACGGTCACATGGGATTCTGCAAAAGGACTGCAAAACTCCTGTTCAGGATGTGTGTGGCGGATCTCCAGCCTCCTCTTAGCCTTCCCCCAAATGGCAGTCAATCATCATCAGGGGGGCGAATAAGGAGGACACCTTACCATTGATGAAACTTAAGAAGTCCCGCCCCTTGGCATCCCAAGCCAGCCATTGACCTCCTGTCTCTTCTAGAGGAGGGAGCTCTGACGGAGGGGAGGGGTATGGTTTTTCAGTTACTGTCTGTGCCCAGCGTGGGGCTAAATCTGGGTCTGGAGCACCTGGGTACATTATGGCTCAGACTTGGTCTGGTACCAATTGGAACCAATCCCATGTTTGGCCCAGATTGATCCCAGATTTGGCCCGGATCAACACCATAGCCTGCATGTGTGCAAGCTAACTGGCTAAAGAGGCTTGTAGCGGGAGTGTGGTTATTGGAGGGGGAGTTATATGAGGATCTATGCATGACCAGCTGTGGACAGTCTCAATGAGGGAACAAGTGGAGGACCTAAGTGGGGTCAAGGGTCATAGGAAAAAAAAAAGGGTTGTAGCTAATAGTAAACAACTTATTTGTTGATGAATGGCAGAAAACACCTGATGCATACTTCGGTTCTTTTATCTAATCCACATCACTTCAGTGTGTATCTGTCAATCAGTGAGACATGCACATTAATGGAAAATTGTCTCCATCCATCAGGTGTTTTGAGCCTGAGTGCCTGGTCTACCAGCAGAGTTTATTCAGGCCATGATGATGAACTGCATTGGTTTGATGAATCAAGACCACACAACTGTTTATTTGAAACATGCAGCAAGTGTGTATGTATATGCAGGAGTTCTTTTTACAAACGCCATGTTTCTACAATAAAAGTCTTTCATTAAAATTCCAAGTATGCTAATGAGTGAGAATTCATGATACCAAGCCACGTGTTATCTTGATGACTTAAATGAGCTGCTACATGCCTTTCTGCGAAAAACACTAGCTCACCATTAACTGCTCATGAACCTATAAGCAATGTGTTAGGGTGGTGGATCCCAGTCCTTGGTCCGGTGATACACTGAGGCTTACACACCGTTCTCACCCTGCACCAACACAACTGATTCAGCTCAGACACCATACAGTGAGCTGAATCATGTGCAGCTGAGATTAAATGGCACTGCTGCATGTCATACCACAGGAGCAAAGGAGGGAACCACCGCATTAGAGTGATGTTTCTATTGCAGCTGGAGCTTCAGCACCAAACAGCCTCTAGTTTTCTCCATGACTATTCACAGCATCAGACCTGGGACAAAACAACCGAGTGTATGAGAGCTTTAACCTCCTGAGAACTCCAGACTGACAGGAAATTCAAAGATGCATGTTAAGCAAATTTCATCAAATGCACCTTACAGGATAATTTCCATTTATTACAGCCATGGTCTTATTTTTATAATTTCAGTCATTGTATTTATCAGTAATAACAACATTATGCTCGCCATGTTAATTGAGATCTGGGAACACAGTGACATCACCAAAATGTCTGATGGAGCAAGAAACACAAGCGGTCAGACGACCATACTGGTTTTAAACACATCCCCAGGTTAGCAAAAACCTAGCAAGGGATTAATGTCAACATACACCAAAACAAGACTTAATTAATGTCCAAGTGAACATTTGTGCCAAATTTGAAAAAAATTCCCTTGAGGAGTTCTTGATATATTGTGTTCACAAGGCCGAAATCATGTTTAATGAGGTCGCCTTCACCTTTGACCTTTGACCACGAAAAGCTAATCAATTAATTTTGAGTCCTAGTGAATGTTTGTGCCATTTTTGAAGAAATTCCTTCAAGGCGTCTTTGAGATATCATGTCCACGAGAATGGGATGTACAGACTCTGGCTGTCATTGGCTCAGAGGCATAAAAAATTCAAATTCATAGTAAATGATCCTGATCTGCCCTGAATGGATTCCTCCCTGGCCCATGACCCCTCTCTCCACCACGTTCAGCGCAAATCCATTCAGAACATTTTGTATAATGCTGGGTGAAAACATCACCTCCTTGGTAGAGGTAAGAATGGTTTGGATAATCAAGGCAAACTGTTGGTGTCTGGTCAAGGCTCATGTCTCTTACCCTGTCAAACTTCATTGTAGTAATGTCACCTTGTTCCCAGATCTCAGTAAACACTGTGGGGAGATGCTAAAGCTCAGTCTCAACTATGACAAATAAGACCCAAGTTGCAATAGCTCTGGATTACAGTGAACGTTCAGTGAGGTCTTGAAAGGTCGTTTTATGGGTTGACTTTTGAATTAAGTGAAAAGAACAAAGAGCACAAAACTAATCATTCATGTGTCCCGCTGCTAGATCACTAGCTCTTTTGTTCAGTGCTAACACCTGACGTACACTATGCCGACTGACAGTAAGGACAGCAGAGAATAGACATAATGACTGACAGTAAGGACAGCTGGATGGAGGTATGGGGATGGCAATGCAAGTTGGGTTTTGTTCTGGTGTAGCTTGTTCATCTTTTCTTTGGTGGGTATAGATTTTTCTTATAAGATGTACTGCACACTGTTTTAGTGTTGCCTTGCAACCAGCAGTATCTCAAGAGAAGTAAGAAGTATAGTATTGTGTATATATAGTAAGCAAGTATTATTGCATATCCACCAACATTTACTTTTAAACAATGACACCTTTTTTTTTTAATAAGGAACCCTTAATGTGTGATTTGTGATCAAGATATTGAGATTACCTCTAAACCTTTCATAATAAAGTTGGCAGTGCTCTCTGGTGGACAAACCATGTAACAGCAACACTGTCTCTAAATTACCCTGACATGCAGAATATTGGGGATTTTTTTACAACAATTTCTTAATACTCATTGGCTTACATATACACCATTACTAAACATTTCTGTTATAAACTAAAATCAGCTGATGTCAGCCATGCCTATATATTGGCAAGGCTCTAATTTACACCAAATGATAAGAGGATAATGTAAAGTTCTGTGTTCAGAACTGAATGGATTTGTTTTTAAAATAAACCCAGGCCAGTGGGACACTACCATAGAAGTACTATCCCACTCAAGAGTAAATCCAACAGTATATTTGTAAAATATAAGAATCTAAACGGTGTCCTATATTAATAATTGCTACAAGACTGTTTTTAAAAAGGTGAGGTCTTCTTACTTTGGACAATGTCACCTTTAGAGGCTCATTCAGCATTAGTTTAAGTCCTAAGTGTTAGCAAAGAGCACGTGGGCCTACATTCAGTCGGGAACACATGACTTTTTGGTCTATGTTCTTTAGTATTTCAAAATATAATATGTTCACATTTTAATATATCCATGTTCTTCTTTGTTTTCAAATGTTTCCAAAATATGGTGCAGTCTAGTGTTCGGGAAGGTTTCACTAAGTATTCAGCCCAAGTCTGATCAGAGCATTGGTTTGACCATCAGCCTAATGATGAGACAGCACAGCAACAGAAAAGTGGAGGGAGAGGGAGGATGGAGAGTTTAGGGGACACTCTGAGGGAGGAGGAGTGGGGGGGGGGGGAAATTGGGTTGAAATAAAGGGAAAGAGGGTTTTGTTTACCAAAAATGCCCTCTGCCAGCATTGGAAAAGAATAGACAAAGAAAAAAGAAAAAAAAAAGAGAGAAAAGAAAGAATGAAAAGTGAAAGACTGATAAACGGTCAACCACAGAGAAACAGGGGACACTGGGAGGGAGGAGGAGGGGGGGGGGGGAAATTAGGTTGAAATAAAGTGAAAGATGGTTTTGTTTACCAAAAATGCCCTCTGTCAGTCATGGAAAAGAATAGACAAAGAAAAAAGAAAAAAAAAAGAGAGAAAAGAAAGAATGAAAAGTGAAAGACTGATAAACGGTCAACCACAGAGAAACAAAGGTAAATTACTTTATATAAAGATAGATACAGCATATCATCTTTCAGGGGACTGAAACACAAATGAAAACACCAGGAGGAGCAACAACTCTTCACTTTGGCTAATGGTGATGTCAGCTGTCTGTCTGATGTCAGCTGGGTCAGTCAGCGCTTGCTGCAATACTGATACAACATATCCCATAATGCACTATGGTGATCCTCCTTTTTCAGGATCCCTGCCAGTGTCAAGACCAACACTGTCATCAAGATGGTGTGCATGTGTGTTTGTTTGTGTTGAAGGGGAATAAAGGTGGGTGTTATCAGCTAACGATGTAATAACTGCCAGTTAACTTCATACTTGTCAAACTGTAATGTTACCGGGGCGACGCTGTGGCGCCAAAGATGAACTGTGAGGTCCCTGGTTTGTATCCGGCCGGGGACCATTGTTGCATATCTCTCGCTTGTATCCTGTCATCTCTCTACTATTGGCACCTTACAGAGCCAAGCGATGAACATCACATAAAATGCCCCAAAATATTATAAAAAACAAACAAACAAACAAACAAACAAACAAACAAACAAACAAACAAACAAACAAACAAACAAACAAACATCCCAATTAACTCAAACAAAAGCTTTTTCTTCATTTTCTCTGTCCTACGGCCCTCGGCCTGTGGAGGGTGTAGACAGCCAAGCACTTGCACTGCAGGGAGAGTCAAGGGCTGCGGCCGAAAAGTCAAAAATAATCTCCTTCTCTAACCACTTCCCCTCGACCTCGATGGAAAATGTCATGAGGTCAAGGAAAGATGTTGAAGGAGAATTCACAAGGACTTAGGAAAATAATCTGACTTCACTTTGACTAAGCTTTTTTTTAATTTTTTTAAACACATGGAGGATAATTCTCCTTCCTAGCCACAATAAACAAACAAACACAGAAATGTCAAAATAAGAAAACATGAACTAAAAATATAAACAGAGAAAGTTGAGCCATTAAAATAATAATTGAATAAAAATAAGGAACTGAGCAAGAGGTCAGAATAAATTATATTCAACACAGAGTTTCACTTTTGACATTTTTATACAATTGTTAACTAGAGAAAATTCATATTCAGTGCTTTACACAATGAGAGGGGATTTAGTGAAATGACATCTACGTATAGACTACTACTAGTTCTGGATCGTGTCACAAACATAAAACAGCTGCTCTGATGTTTCTACATTTATGTGGCTCTGCTGTGGTGAAACTACAGTGATGCATTGTTTTAAATGTTGCTGGAAGGAACAAATTGTGGGACGGCATTTCTCCTTTCATAAAGGAAGCTCCAGTGTTTCCTATGCTAAAGGAGATAAGATAGGAAGCACTGAAGCTCCTTTCCTCATCATTTAGAGAAGTGGAGCAGCTGTGATCATGATGCTGCTCAGATACTTCAGCTCACTTCACTTTTCGACCGCAGCCAACCTATCCCCCAAATCCCAACCCCTCTATACGCCCTGACCAACCAGCAGGTGTCACTCATGACCCCTCCTCACCGACTTACCAACTCTGAACACTGCTATTTGTGTTTGATGGGGAAAAGCTGGAAGCACTGTGGTGTGAACCTGGTCCATGAGGTCCATGGTTGATTTATCACAAACTGCCCCCCCATAAATCAAGAAAGATGCTAAATGCAGAAGCATCTCGACTATGGTTGGATGATATAAACTAAAGTAACACTCACTGGCTCAGAAAATGACAACTGAACAGACACAACAGCCTGAAACATAAAAGAGCTGCTGTGGATAAACAAGCAACACGACCTTGGTGGTGTGGAGATAATGGAGCTGGACCACCACAATAAGTCCACCTGTTGATGTTACTGTAAACTCTACCACAAACAAGTACCACAAACTCATTTTATCACCTGAAGCATCGCCATCTAATAAAACACACTCAACTCCAGCAATTAGACCCAACCGGTAAGATTTAAACTTCCAGTAATATTCTTTCCTAGTTAACATTTTGACAAGTCGCTGTATTACCCGGTAGTTAATACATTCAGTGGATACAGGGGGTCGTAGTGGAGAGCATGCACTGTGTCCCACACGCTCAGGAATATCATGCTTCATCCATTCCAACAAAGAAAGAACTGTGACAGCTGGACATTCGCAAACATGTCAAACTCCAAACTCCATCATGCCTCAGCCTCTCTCTCACATCTGTCATTGTCTGGCCAAGGTGCAATGACGTACAGCGTGTAATGTCAAAATAAAAAATAAAGAACCTAAACGCTTTGCCTCATAAACCTTCACTTTTCTCTGATATGTTCATCATCTGGGCTTTAGCAGCTTGGCTACTAATTGCAAGTTGTGTTTTTCCTTTTTTCCTTTCTGGCAGTGAACCTACCTTCTGCCACGCCCCATGGATACTGGCGACCTCTGACCTTCTTGCCGTTCACCTCAATAACGACGTTGCTGCCGACTACTGCCAGGGGCATCTTCTCCTGGAGTGGGAAGACACACAGCTTTCTATTACCTGTGGATGGAGCAGTGCTCTCTCCTGATTGGATGACCGCTCAGTTTCAGTCAGATACAACTGACATCACAGTTATATTTGACTTCACTGTGTGAGTGCTTGGGTTGGGATACTCATATTGTGCACAAGTATTTTGACATTAAAACTCCTGACTTGAGTGCAGTGGACTGAAGCATTTACATGGTATTTTCTACATTGAGTCAATTGTGTCAGATTTACATACAGTGAGTGGTCACACCAGAAAAGAGTCCCAGCAAAATGTCTCCACGTCTCCTCTGAAAACAGGCAGTGCTAGAGACTTTGTAATGTGGAGTGAGTTACTGTGGCTGACAAGCTAACAGCTAACACACTGCAGGAGAAACACTAGCACAAGTGGTGGCCACGAACATACTAGCACTAATCACGAATTTACCCTATCTATCTATCTATCTATCTATCTATCTATCTATCTATCTATCTATCTATCTATCTATCTATCTATCTATCTATCTATCTATCTATGTTGTCGGAGTTACTGAAGAGTGAAAAGAGTCCTCCAAGCTAGCAAACTTGTTGAATGACAGTTAGCTTTTTTGTTGAGCCGTTGAGAAATAATGGAGGGTGAAATGTAGCTAATGAGCTACAATGGCTTCCTCCATTTTGGACTCACTTAGTTCAATTCCACACAGAAAATGTACTTAGCCGTTGCAATTTAATCCACTGACACAGTAATTCTGTGGAACTGAATGTGTTCGGTGTGACCAGGCTTCAATCATGCACACGCAGTCATTGCTGACCGGAAAAATATGTCAGCTCCAGGGTTTCATGCTCAGGTTTCTGTTGATGTTTTAAATGACTCTCTGGTCCATTACCTTTATCTTTCGGATGAGCTTGTTGTCCTCGTCATCCTCTGTGTCGGGGAATTCGTAAATTTTGATTTTGTGCTCCTGTATCTCTTTCATTATCTGAAGAAGGGAGAAAATCATCAGATTAAAGGTTACAGGCACAAACAGTGTAGACCTGCAAACATTTGTAAAATCCATTTGAAAAAGGATTTCATTTCTCTATTAGGTAAAATATACTGATTAACTTTCTTTTTGGATTATCTTGGCATGGCAAGGATGGAAGGAGGTTTAAACAGCCAAAAGCTCATTGATGAACACACTGTGTCTAGTTTATTTAATCCGTACACAAACAGAGGTGTCTCTACCACAGGTTGTGGAGTTTATCCATCTTTTTTATTAAATATAAAAACTGCATCCAGTGTGTAGGCTAAATTGCCTCCATACTTGATGCACATGTGAGAGAGTAGTATGATGTGATGCACACACCAGCAGCCACACACTAAACCAAAGGCGTGGTGGTAACTCTTCTCATTTGTTCTATTGACTTAGTTCAGGAGTCTTTCTTTCTCAGCATGACACTCAAACTCTACATATGCAAACAGATAAATAATTGTACGCACAGGTTTTGGTTTGATATAACAAACACAGCTTTATTCGCAATATTTGACAGAACAGTTATCTATTTGAGGAGCACAGATTTAGTTAACTTTCTCCGTCAGGTTTGCTATATTAGTTTCATAAACTTAAGTTATTTAATTGTTACCACCTCCTGTGGAGGTTGCTGCTGGAGTTTCCTGGCTGGCCATCAAAAGGAGTCCCAGCTCCATCAGACCTGCTTAAACAGTGTTGATGAGTAACTGGACTGCATCATGTTCCTCCAGCATCTTCTAGTTTGATTTTTCTTATGTTTGTTTCAGTACTTTTCCTCAGTTAATATGGGGCAGCATTAAACTGTAGTTTGTCTTTTGGTCTATCCTCTGTGTGTCTGAATGGCCTGATCAGCCACTGTATATGTTTCCCTATGCTTCAGTCAGTTTGTGCTGTTAAGTTCACATCTGTTAGTGCTTGAGGTTTGTTCTTTCATGGGCCCAGAGTTATGGTTAGAAGTATTTTGTTATTTCTTTTTTGCTTTTTGTGAATGAATATGGACTTCAATTATTTTTCAAAAACTCCCTGTATCTCCCTGTCCATCAGCTCGGTCCCTGACATTTGATCTTCATCTAACAAAGCTAGCAAACATATTTCCAAACATGCCTATTATTGTTTTGCATAAACATGCTGTTTGTAGTAAGTTAAATAAGATATCACATTACTATTATTATCTGTGCAGCTTAGTTTGGAGTGCAACAGCAGCCCTGCCCGTCCCTCTCATGTGATACATACAAACACAAATACAAATACCTGTTTTTTAAAAAGCTGGCATTCTTCAGGGGTCAAAGTGTCAGCTTTTGCAATAAGAGGGATGACATTGACTTTGTCATGGAGTCTCTTCATGAACTCAATGTCCAGCGGCTTCAGACTGAAGGGGAGACAGAGAGAAGTGTAAGAACTACATCATCAACAACTCAATCATTTGCTTCACAAGTTCATCGTTTAAGAAACAAGGCTCAATCTTTGTTCATAAATGTACTGGCGACCTGTTCCCTGTCTCTCACCCAGTGCATGCTGGGATAAGCTTTGGGCCCTTCATCTCTGAACATGTGACAAGATGTTATAGAGGGAGATGGACCTGTGGTTGTTTACAATAAAGTTATTTTATGTGGGTCAGCAGGCCGGCATGGTGACTCATCCTGTACATGAAGAATTCATTTACAAGAATCATTAATGCCACACTGTATTTCCTCCGTGCATGGCTTTAAAGAAATGTAGTTCAGTGGGTCACCAGCAGAGGGCCAACCACAACTGTGCAATGACATGTGGCCTACAGCAAAGACACGGTGAAGCCACCCGAGCGTGACGGACTGTTCGTCTTATTTGTTTGCGGTGACAACTCATGGTTATGTCATATTGAGTTAATGAGGGATTATCTTTGTAAATACCTCCATGGGGTCTCCATCCCTGTGTGAATGACATATTCAGCTGTGAGGCTCTGGCTGCTGCTGTGGGCAGTGTGTAGGAGTGTGAGTATGTGCAGCACAATGGGAGAAAAGTATGTAAACATGAACTGCACATGGCTGGATTCTGGTCCAGTGTGACTATGGATGCAGTTATTTTTATCTGTCTTGCATGCAAATGACACATTACGTGTGGACTTGGTTCTGTGTGCGTCTCTGTGTGTAATGGGTGCTGATAAAGGGGATGAGAATCACACATCTCAGGAATGCAGAAGCATGAAGAAGGCACAAAACAGCTGTTGAGTGGTTCACTAGTTCACAGAGGGACACAGAGAGTGTGTGAAAGAACCACTTGGTAAGAAGAGGGTCAGGTTAGTGTATGATGCGGCGTAAGGAGCGCTGGACTGAATGTGACCCCAGATAAAACTGGAGTCAGAGCGTCTGGTCTGAGGGAGGGGGAGATTTGAGGACTGGTGAAGATACTGACTGTCCAGGAACTTGCGTGATCTTAAAATGTTATTCCTTTCAGGGTTAAACTATAAATCCTCTCTGCACACTGACAGGGACTTATCTGACCAGCAGTGAGAGAAGGCTGGACTCACTGTTGGAACTGTTCCTGTCTTCTCCCAAAGCCAAGCCTGGACACATGAGGATGAAGTTTACTTCTCAGGCAGGAGTTCAAATTTTACAGTCACATGTCAGAGACTTTTGGAGGCAGCGACATGCAAACTGTTATTCTACAGCTGTTGCAGAGGTGGTTAACAGTTTGCTTAGAAACTATATTCTGGCAAATATCCGTAGAGTGAAGTAAACTTACTGCACTGTCCAAAGCTCAAGGGCAACTGCACAATTTTATTAAATGGACATCATGGTCTGCTCGTTTCGCAGCATAATTCAGTTTTAAACCCTTTTAAACCCCTAATAATAATGATAATAATAATATAATAATAGTAATGATAGGGTTCCATGATATGCAAAAAGAATGATATTCATATGACTTTTGCATTTCATTTTCACTGAAAACTAGAATCAGCTCCTGGTGGTTCTCTGCCTCCTCCACTCAGACTAGTTTCAGGTCACATCCCTGTTTATCCACAGTCATAGAAAATATGAAGCATTGGTTTGAAATTTTGTCATAACTGCTGTGTGAAGTCTTGAGTTGTGACTAAAAAATGTTTTCTGAGGTCACCGTAACCTTGTCCTTTCACCTTTGACCCCCAAAATCCAATCAGTTCATCCTTGAGTCCTAGTGAATGTTTGTGGCAAATTTGAAGAAGTTCCATCCCGATGTTACTGAGATATCATGTCCAGGAGAATGGGACGGACGGACGCACAGGCAACCCGAAAACAATATGCCTGCTCTGACTGTCGCCAGCACGGAGGCATAAAAAGTTAAAAATAATGATGATGTGATTTTTGTTGGTCTTGTACCAAACCAACATGTTCCTTTACGTCTGGAGAATATGATTTGTGGAGGCGTCTCTGGAACAACATAACACATTTTACCTTTAAAAAATTGCAGCCCCGGTTGAAAATGCAATTTGGATGTTGCACTTGGCCATATTGTTATTAAGATTTTGATTAATTGTGCAGCCCTAAATAATAATAATCATAATAATAATAATAATAATAATAATCTTTACTTATAGAGCACTTTTCAAAAACTATGCAAAAACCATACAGTCATGCACCTATGATGGCAGCTTTACACTGACTTTTATGTAAAAGTCATGACAGCAGTCAGCGCTGTATTGTCTCCTTAGAACTTCCAATATAGAACAGGTCTGTCTGCATATGCACTGAGCTAAATGCTAAATCAGCAGGCTAACATGATCACTATGACAGTGCCAACATTAAAGCAGATATACCGTTACCATGTTCACCTTAATTTAGCATGCTTAGGTCTTACAAAGCAGACTCCCACAATATAGCAGGATCTGGCAACCCCCTTATTTTATGCCTTACATGTAGAGGTTTCTAAGTTGCAACCCATGTTTACACTGTTTCTTTTTACTTAAAGAGTAAATGAGTGAGAGAAAGGTCGGGGACGAGAAAACAGGAGCGGTTCAGGAAATGAGGAAATCTAAGAGGGAAGATAAAGGGCTGGGCTCCTTATCGGAGTTATGTTTCCACTCTTAGATTCTTATTCATCTTTTCTCCCTTTTTTATTATTTAGCACTTACACATTTATTGTTTAATTGCTGGTACAACAGTTTACTGTATGTATAACTTTCTTTGGCTCGGTAAAACATATTTGATAATTTAGCATGCTGAGATTTCCTAATGAGCACTCTTCACAAAGTGCAGCTCAGGCTGTTTTGACCTGATAATAGCAGCACATCCTCCAAGTTATTACATTCATCCAGAGGAAGAGATGCGCAAGTTCTATGTGAAGCCATATCATTTTATCAGGTTGTAAGAAAGCTCCACATTTGAACTGAAGACTGGTTCTGCAGCTATACTGAGAGACAGGGAAGAAGATATAGCGATGCCAAGTGAACACACACACACACACACACACACACACACACACACACACACTTTCTGGGACAGTGCAGGATGTCAGGAGACAGAGTGTGTTTGTCTGAGATGAGAGGCCTGCCTCTGTTGGCCTACACTCTGACTGGGTGATTCAGTGATGGAGAGCAGAACTCTACTGAGCATGAGCAGAACTGGGTTATATAACCTTTGTGGGTCACAAACACTGGCTGGCAGCCTCCTTGTCTATGGCACAGACACACACTCACTATACCCTCATAGCCTGCAAAAGAGAAGGAGCTGGGTGGAACCACAGACTTTTCCTCAGAGTAAACCAAGCCAAAGAAAGTTCCGAATTCTTCAGGTTTTCATCGCACTTTAACACTTCACCAGCTGATTTCACTGGTTGCACTGTGATTGAAACCTGTGCAGAATGTTTGTTAGTTAACAGGAGCCATGATTACAAATAGACTCATAAAGGAAGAGTCTTGACAAGAGCACAACCATCCTCCCACTTGACAACTGCTGCTTGAAAATTGCTGGTTTTTGTGTGAAGTGAAGATTTACATTTAGAACTTAAAACTGCACTAATTCATACTTTTACACAAATAATAGATCAAAAAAACTGATTCCAATGTGAAAGCGGTTGCTTAATATTGATCTTTTACTGGCAGCGTTTTGACTTTTAACCATCTCGCCTGTGTTCGAGGCAGCTATGCGTGCTCCAGGTATTTACTGAACTTCTCCACACCTGATTCAACTTACTGCATCAAAGCTATTATAATGAGTCACAGTTACCGTGACACGAGACTCCACTTACTTACATCTACATCATCTCATTACAACCGTCACCCCAAGCAGCACCTACCCGTGTCCAGAGGGTGCGATGAAGTACAGGCAGCAGTGGACTCTGTTGTCCGGCATGGATCTGCGGTTCACCCTCGACTCTGCATTCAGGAAGTCCTCACACTTACTGTCAATGTAGTTTATGACTGGCTGCCAGCTGCGAAGATGGAGGAAAGATTATCAGGCAGAGGAAGATGAGAAAAACAGATCAGAGCAAAATCTGATCACACATTCTTCTGGAAAAAAAAAAACCAAAAAAAAAAAACCACACACACACTCCTCACCAGTTGCTGTTGTCCACTGCATCTCCAAAACCTGGTGTATCCACAATGGTGAGTGTCAGCTGAACCCCTCCTTCCTTAATCAGCACTTTAGACTGCTCCACCTGAAACACACCAACGTTCACACATTTCAGTGTACCAGTGATAAAACCTGGCCCTGCTGATGACATGACTTCTGAATGGAAACACATGCCGCACACGGACGCTGCGACGTTCTGATGATCTTTCTGGATCTGTGAGGATTCAACACTTTGAAAAATACACTTCAGAGTACATTCTGGCAGCAACAACGGGCCCACACACATTGGCCTGCACTATCCTCCCCCGCTCAGGGCACTGATGACACATCAACACACTGTAAGTGCACCCACACAGCCTGCTGAGAGATCCAGAGATACTGATATCTGCTGCTCGTATGTGTGAGCGTTCAGACTCAGACTCGTTCCTTCCTCTAAGAGGTAAATATTTACAGCAGTGATGTGTAAATAGGTGCGTGATGTATGATTACCTCACTTCTCGCTAACAAACTATGATCATATTCTTTACATTTCACCTCGCTGTCTTGACTGAATTAACCTGCAAGTAACATCGTTTTGTCTCATGTCATGTTACTTTATTCATTGTTCTGACGAGAACAAGCTGGTACCTGGACAGGTAAACCCTGAGTTAACTGAGCCAGGTACAAAATCATTGCTGACAGCAGAGGGAACATAATACTTTTAACCAGATGAAGGTTCAGGCAGATTTAAATAGAGAGTTGGCTTTGCTGTAATAAAATAGGTGACAATTTCCATTCAAGTCTTGGTCTTGGAATCATTTTATCAGCTTCATTTACAACAGCTGGCTGTGCATTTCAGCTAGTCTTTACATTGTTGTAATAGTTTTAATAATGTGGGGTCATGAGGAAGGCTTACAAAGCCAGCGTTAAAACACTGAATGAATCAAATCGAATACAGTATGTGAGTCATGAATTTGCATTTTGTAACTGAACCTTGTTCCTGTTTTGTGTCTGAAACCAAAATGAAATTTCTCTCGGTTGCACTCAGCGGTGAGAGGATGGCTCCTCACGTCTTATGCTTCAGGTTAATGTTGAAAAGCTGCTTTTTCTCATGTGCTGGAACAAATCAGTTCTATCAGAACTATACACTGAAATGCACTGAAGATGGATTAGTTTACATCGTTAGAATTTTGTTAAAAGATGTAAACTGATTGTCAGTTTTTTTTTTTTAAAAAAGCTCCAAAATGACATGTCATTCCAACTGCGCCTCATAAGGTACTAACTCTGGGGGCGCCTCGGCGGCTCACCTGGTCGAGCACGTGCCTCATGTGTTTAGTCCTAACTGCAGCGGCCATGAGTTCTAGCCCAACCCACAGCTGCATGTCATGTCCCTCTCTCTCTCCCTGACTTTCCTGTCTCTCTCTCAAGGTGCCTATCAAAGTAAAGGCAAAAATGCCAAAAAAAATTACTTAAAAAAAAAAAGAAAAAAAGATACCAATTCTGTACCTTTCCAGGTATATTTTTGTAACTGGACATAAAGGTACAGTTTTGTCACTCGGGGTACAGAAATGTTCTTTTAGAGGTTCAGACAAGACAGTACAAACATGTACCAATGTTCAAAGGTACAGTGCTGAACCCTGCGAGGGTGCAGCTGGAGCCACAAAGCCTTTGTACCTTTTTAGGTTCATTCCTTTACTTTCATTTCTTAGTGTGTGCAAGCATCCCCTCACTAAACAGGTGCACAGGTCCTTCACCCGCGTTCCCAAAGTCAGACATCTAAGTTTAGGTATTTGTTTAGTGATTCTTTGTGGTGTATTAATTAAAGATGGATACTGTTCAGTTGATTAATGCATCATGTTAGATTCATTTTTGGTTTGTTCATTTTGTTTGGGGTTCGTAAAGGTCGTCTGAGCATATCATATGCTTTTTTTGAAAGAACTGTGTCAAGGTACATTTTACATAATGCATCTACTTCCCGTAAGCCTTGTTATACACACCACCCTTTTTTGTATTGGAAGTGGGTAATGTTGGAGCCTTTATAAACCGAGTGCATGTCAGTTGGCGTTGGTCCTGCGGAGATGGGAAATCCATGCTGCTCTCCAGTGTTGTAAATATGGCTGTGTCATTTACAAATTCATTCAAAAAACCAGAGCTCTGCCAAAGTTTGGATGCTGTTTCTTCCCGTTGGTTGTATGTCTCAGTGGCCGCTGCCATCATCAGAGAGCCACTCCACCACAAAACTATTTGACATGAATCATCATATAGACGACCAGAAGCCAGCGAAGAAACGATGCCACAGGAGGAAACGCCTCAAACTTCTGTGAGCAGCTCAGAGACAGACATCAGATCTGTTCACTGAGTTCAGGCTGAGAGAGTTTCAGTTGTTCTCTTCACATCAACATGTCGTCAACACGTTCATGTCCTGAAACGTTACCGTTGTTGTTTGTGAACTGTGACAGCTGACATCGCTTGTAACGACACTCCACCCACAACGTGGGCTAACGTTAGCTTGGTTAGGCTAACGTAGCGACGGTTTATAACACAAGCTTGGTGCTCAGAACATTAGCAGCTACAGCCATCACTGTTCAGTCTGTTTAAATGAAACACTGACTTTTAAATGAATGTTCTCACACCATGGGTCTGTCACCATGTTAGTCAGTTTAAACTGCTGCATGCACACTGGCTACATCAAGGTGTGTGTGTGCGTGTGTGTGCGTGCGTGTGTGTGTGCTGTTGTCTTCTGTTTTTTGCCGTGGTATTGAGGATCATGGTATTGGCACAGACCCCTAGTATCCCCAGTACTGCCACAGTGAAAGTGAATCAGGACCCAACAGACTGTCGAAATAACGGAGTCTGAAACTGTAAAAGCAGGAAAACAGTCACATATATTCGCCGTCAGTCCCACAGATCCATCACTTCCTGCAGCTCGTCTGCTGCTCCCTCACTTTGCTGCATACTTTCACAAGGCCATCTAGTTATTTTAGGATCACCCCTTTAACTCAAACTACAGCCCTCTTGCTAACACAAACATTCTTCAGTTTCCACAAACCTTCAGATAATCTGTCTGACTCTACAGCTGAGTCTATATATCACGCACTGCAGTCATTTGACATATCTGAGCTTAATTGTGCATCCAGAATGTGTGCGAAAGTGTGTGTTTGTATTGTAAGTGTTTGTGCATGACATGTCTGCCATCTCAAAACCAAATCTGCTATTTCCACCGTTTCTGCAAAGAAAAACAAATTTGGGAGAAAACCTCAAAAATGCCGTCAGTCTCAACACCATCATTTAAAAGAAATCTGATCTGGGGGAATGTGAGTGAGCGACAAAACATGAGATTGTTCTGGAATAAAAATACTCTGACCCTGTCTCTCTTCCTCAGCCTCAGACCACAGCACCCGTGGCAAATACACTTACACACGCTAACTGTTACTTGCAGGAGGGCATTTATGCCCCTGCTGTGCTCATGGGGTTCACATGAGGTCTGATGTGAGCGACGGAGCAGAGGAATCTTAATGTTTCCAGTCTCGCCAAAACAGAGTAAATTTAGCTCTGTGCTGGTGCAAAGACTGGAACACAACAGAACTGCTGTCATGAGCAGATGCAAAAGATACAGTGACATCACCTGATTTGCTTTCACAACCCGTAATTTGGGACGCACTGCGTGAGGATACAGTGTCAGACATCACAGACTGTTCAGTATTCTGGATTGTTTCAGTATTGATACAAAAATGTTTTTATGATTTGTCACTTGATTTGTGAGTTTGTTTCTGCAAATTTAACAATAGAAGAAGAAATGGTTATATGTTGACTTTTCTCCAGTCAAACTAAAAATCAGGGACTATCTAAAGGTCAAGGTTCACTCCTGACCTAGAGAACAGTAGTTCGCAAAAACAGTAGTGAACTCCAGGTCCACTTAAAGTTATGATTTGTAACTTTTCCACATTCAAATGTCTAAAAACAACTAGACCTGTGTTCTATATGTTGTTGAGTTGTGTTCTTACATTTTCCCAAATGTTTCAATCAATTCTCAAACCAGAGAAATCTGTGATTTTAATCATGGTAATGGTCTGTTTGGTCACATCACACAGCCCTGATTTCAAATAGATAAAATGTCCATTTTTGCCCATCAGTCTACACTAAGTTCATTCATAGAAAGTTTTAACAAATGTATTAAAACTGAAAAACTGAAGTTCCTCACTAACAAATGTTTTCAGGCCTTTAATTCAGATTCTGTAGAAGCGTGTTTGGCAGCAGGTACAGCTTCAGCTTCTTGGGTGAGTCTCTATGAGCTTTGCACACCTGGATTTGGTCAGTTTATCTCATTCTTCCTGGCAGATCCTCTCAGGCCGTCATATTGGATGGGAAGTGTCTGAGCTGCCATCTTCAGGTCTCTCCACTGATGTTCTATGGGGGTTCAGGTCTGGTTTTTGGTTCGGCCACTCCAGGGAAGTCAGACTTGTACGACGACGTACGAGGGTCATTGTAGGACAAAAAAAAAAAAAAAATCTGCCTCGGAGGAGTTAATATTCAGAGAAAAAAACTTGGATATTCTTTGAGATTATAAAGTCATAAATATGTGAGAAAAAAAAAATCAGCAGTTCTCTGAGTTTAAAGTCACAAATATATGAGAAACGAACTTTTGTTGAGGAACCACATCACGTCACTGTGCAGAGATGGATCAACCTCATCACATAACAGATGCTGACGCTTGTTGTGTATTAGATGAGCAGTGGATGACCTAATCAAATTATGCTTTACAATCAGATTTAGCAAGAAGGAAACGCTCGTGACTTCAGCCCAGACTCACTGTGATGTCATAAACATCCAGACTTTGAAGAGACAATGAACCGGGCCTATTCAGAAGAAAACAACTATTTACTAGTTTGGTTTGCGTGTCAGAATATAACCCCCCCCTCCCCTGCCTCCATCATTTTTTTATTTTTTATTTTGTTATCCTACAGTGGCCCCAATACTCCGTCGTAGACTCGTCTGTCTGTCTGTGCTGAAAGGTGAACCGTCGCCTCAGTCTCAGGTCTCCTGGACTTTGGAGCAGGTTTTCTTCAAGGACCTCTCTGTATTTAGCTGCATTCATCCTTCCCTCTG